TATGTCATTTCCTCCATGTGGGAAACGAAATCGTTACTCTATTTTTATATCAAATATTTGTCGTGGGAGTTACAAAATTTGGACCCATGCTTAGAATTTGTGATCAACAGTTTTCCGGTTCAAGAGTCCAGTGTTTATTGAAATTTACGGTCACACGTGGAAAGTACATGATTAAGGAGACGAGACTAGACTCAAATGTTTACAGTGCATCTGATATTGCACAGCTGATATCTCCTTAATCTAGGAGAAACTCGACGTTGGGAACATTTTTATCGTTCACAGATGTGTGCAGCCGAAATATTCCCAACATCGAGGGGGTCACTTTCCCTCGTCACAGAAGATAATTTGGGTTTCAAAAGTCGCTTCTATCACTGAGATAATTGAATGACGACGTAAGAAAATGAATTAAAATGAATTTTCTGACGGATGTCACATCCCGAAGAAACTTCAATTTCTCCAATGGGGAGCTCCCCTGCCCCTCCGTAACAAAGCATTTTGACCGAGTGTTTACCCGTGATTGTAAAATTTGAACACAATAATGATGTTCCACCAGGTCTTCATTGTTCTCTGCAGGCCCCTTTCTGTAGGCGGACTGGAGTAATAACGAGCGGTCATCGGGTGACCCCTTCCACCTTTTTGAAATACCTGAGTCACTATTTCAAGTCGAAAGTACACGGAATGAAATCTATTTTTTCTTTTCGAATTTAAGAGGTCGAGGAAAAAATAAAAAACCCTTGCAGATACAATAAAAATGCATTAGGACTAAATTTGTAGAGGATGAAATTTCCTTAAAAAAAACTCCACGACGGCATTGTTCCATCGTCAATAGTTTAACCACCAAGCGCCTCAAAAATTTCAACGCAAAATTGCTCCTTCATTCCGCGCGTAAAGAAATCGATTTTAGTTGTTAAATTAGGGAAAAACATACAAACGTTGAAAAAAAATCTGCAAAAATTCCCATACCATATCAAGACCTCAAATAAGCATTTTGGAGGAGGATTTATTTCTTTTCGTCATTTTTCAATTTTATACAATTGAACAAATTTTCATTTCTTTCAATTTTTAAGTAAATTTTAATGCTTTATATCTTTTGAACAAACAATTGGATCGACAAAAATGGAAATTCATTTTCTTCGTCATTCATCCCGCCATCATTTTCATCTTTTGAGGTTTTGCTCTAATTTGCATATTTTTCACAATAACAATTCATAAACAAAAAAAATCCCCTCTCATCGTCTCTTCCATGTAATCAAATGAATTTTTTTGCATAACGGACTTTGTTATTTATGAAGTCCATATCAGGGAAAATTGTAAGAGTTTTTGTAAATTTCTAATGTTCTTGTTTATGGGGTATTTTCAATAAAAAAACACTAATTTTTTTCTTCATCATTTTTTAATAAATGTAAATTTTCTTTGAATTTTAAACAAATTCTTTCCCCTCTTGCCTTTTTATTAAATTCTCAATATTACTCGAGTTATAAATTTTTGAAGTTACAGGGATTTGTTGGCGAGTCCGCGCAGGCCTATTTTATGAGAAAACTCCCAAAATTTATAACTCTAGCAATATTGGCAATTTAATAAAAACGCAAGAGAAAAAGAATTTTGAAAAAATTCAAAGAAAATTCACATTATGTATTGAAAAATGATGGAGAAAATAAATTAGTGTTTGTTTATTGAAAATACCCCATAAACAAGAACATTAGGAATTTACAAAAAATATTACAATTTCCCCTGATATGGACTTCATAAATAACAAACTCCGTTATGTGAAAAAAATCATTTTTCTATATGGCAGAGCCGATGAGAGGGATTTTTTTTGTTTATGATTTGTTATTGTAAAAATTCCGGGCGTAAATGGTGGTTGAACTATTGACGATGGAACAATGCCGCTGCGGAGTTTTTTGTAGGAAATTTCATTCTCTACAAATTTAGTCTGATGCATTTTTATTGTATCTGCAACGGATTTGACAAGGTAAGACGAGAAAAGTCGCACTGCGCCTGTTTGATCACTTATTTTTTTTTTTTTAACAACTCCCCCTTGAGATAAAGTCCCGAAAATTTAGTATGTCATTATTGATGTTATGCCCCGCCAAATGAATATTTTTTCCTATTTCTATTGTTTTTTTAGCTCAAAAAAAGTTGCTATTTGACTGGACTATATTCCAATCCGCACATAGGGATGTTCTCTAAAAACTCAAAAATTGAATGGCTTACTGCAGAGGGCAGCATATTATTATGAGAACGCTGAGAACATTTTACCGACAAAATCGACGAGAACGCCGCTAAGCGGGCTTCATGGAAGCTCCTGCGTTTTGACAAGATTTCAGCCCAGAAAGCTACCCCCACTCCGCCGAGTTGAGCCTCCTTTCCTCTATTCTCCATGCTTTTCCCCAAACACAGCTGGGCGAGTTTCTAGATATGGCGACAGCGTATCGACAGCCTCTCTATAATGTTCAGAAGCATGGTTTCACCCATGGAGGATAGAAGGGAAGGAGGCCGAACGCTAGGCTTTTAGTAGGGGGACGAATTTGAGATCATCAGTGAGACTCAAATAGTGGCCGCGGGTAGCGCTGACGGTCATTTTATAGTGTTACCGACAGTTCACTGGAGAAACTCAAAGCACATGAATCTGTATCCTATTTCTAAGAACGTAAAAATAATTTACGAATAAAAATACATTGCAACGCAATACAGTGAAACTCCAAATAGTAAATGAAGGCTGCTGTTAATATAATACATGAAAAGTAAGCCAAGGAGTAAAATCACCACTAAGTATGGTAAAATAACTACCATAATTAATTCCATCGATTGGCCCAAAAACATGTAGCCCACTGCAAGTTATTTCATTTAGTTTTTTCAATTAGAAAAAATGCAACAATCAAATTATAATAACAATTAACGAATATATAAAGTAATTTTCGCTCTACTAAATATTCGTATTAGTCAATTCTAGTAATAATTCACAATTCGAATATCTATCTTCTTAAAAATACCAATCATATCCTTCTATGCATTTTCTTGTAAATCACTCTTATTTGTTTCCTCAATGTTTGGATTTTTTTCTTTTTGCCATTCAATCTTTTGAAGAATTTCGCTAGAAAATGACTACGTAGTAGCACATAAAAATTGATCACCTGTTTGGTCAATGTGTGGCAGTGTTCTTTACATCCAATCAATGGAAATTCTGTAGTACTTCCAATTGCTGCCAGTACTTGATGGATATTTTGAGAACTGTGTCAAATTGAATTCCATTCTCCGAAACTTCTGCCAAAACAATCTTTTCTATTGCTTTAGTTAAGGCAAATAGATTCGAACTGAGATAAATTAAATATCCTTTGGATAAAAATTTGATAGCTTCATCTCTTTTGTCGGGATGAGATGATCGCGTACACAGTAGACAAGCCTGGCACCGGGTATATCCTCCGATTTTTCGAGCGACGTATCCAGCTATATAACTTTGAACATAGTCACTCGTACTTATGATGTGGTAATTGTGGTCCAATCCAGGCTGTGTTTCTTGCTGGCCAGGTCGTTCTTCGTCTATCTCCATGTCTTCAATTTCCGAGTTTGAGATGCAATAATCGTGATCTAAGAGAGGATGATAAGCTGGAAAATTCCGATCACCCACGCTGTCTTCGCTGAAGGCAACCCATTCAATATTATTGAGCTCTGCATCCAGTAAATCCAACCATTCTTGTTTTCTGGATGAATTCTCCAACTTTCTCTGATCTTTGAGACTTATCAACGTTTCTAAGATGTCTTCTCCGGAGATATTACTATTTTTTGGAGGTTTCGTTAATGAATATGCGCTCATCAATCAATATATCCACGCAAACTATCGTGCATCAGGATGGTCGTTGCACCCACATGCTGCTCGGACGAGACCGACGAACCTCTGAAAATTCAAGAGTACATCATTCAAAAATATCATCACGTATGAAGAAATTGGCGGATTCTAAAATATTGACTAGGAAAGATTTCATTTTGAAAAATCCGATAGCATTCGATTTTCCTGTTCAACGAATTTCATTGTCATATTTTCTGTAGGATTCCCTCGGGCGAAATTATCCAAGTGTTTAGGTTTGATATTCTTGATTAAAAAAAATTAAAATACAATGATGGCAACCTAACAAATTTGAGCCGGGAAAATTCTAAGGAAATTACCTCAATAGGAAAGTTGCATAAAAAAAAAAAGTTCTCTTAGATTTTTCTGCAAAAAATTCTAATAAGAACAACCAAAAACTAATGGAAATTTCTATTGAAATCCAATAGAATTGTCTAGCGAACTCGCTAGGTTTTTCTATAGAATTTTTCAATGCATGGTATTCTATCGGACAAATTTCGAAATATTGTTACCTCGAGTACATCCTGATTGACACGACAAGTCATGAGATACTGATAACCGTGCCTCGTATGAAGATAATCAAAAAGCTCGAGGGTCGCCTGGAGAGTAACTTTCAATCCAAGCAGTGTCGGTGCTGAGAAAGACGTCAATACTGGATCACTGGTATTGCACAGATCTTCCCATTGTTTCAAATATGGTAAGAAATCTGCAATCGACTGAAAATGAAAATATTTTGTAGTTGTTAATTGGATTATATGTTCCGGGGAAAAAAAATCAATGAATATATTCATCATACCTTCTTGTGCACAGAATTGTGACCTAAAGCTCCTGCTGGAGTTAGAGACATCATGGCCGTGATCAAATCATCGACTCTGTTGCAGAACAGTCTAGAAGGCAAACTCTCTTTAACATGGAGGGCCATTGCCACTTGAACTTGCGGGCAAAATAGCTGAAGATCATTTAAATAAAAAGTCATTAGTGTGTTTATGGTAGTCGTGTAAGTAAGCCCGGCTCGATTGTAGATGATGTCTGTCATTACTTGAAATGCCATCGGTACATTCATCTTTCGGAATCCACTTGGATTTAAATGTTCCCATGACAAAACATGAGCAAGGCGTGGGGCCGGTGAATCTGGTGGTTCAGCTCTCAGTACAGCTTCCCAATTACCTAATGTAACACCGCCGTCAGGTGTCTAAAATAATTTTTAAAAAAATTCTATCAGAAAGCACACAGTCATATTCAAATAACAATTATCCAGGACAATGGAAATATGAAAATAAATGAGTGAAGATTAGTCATATTCAAATGAGGTAAATATTATTTACCATGAAAATTTTGTTTTTTACCACCCAATTACGTAAAGTTTTGATTAGATGGGGAAAATCAGAGAAAAACCATAATTTGCGGTCATCATTTAGAGGATGTTTACAGTCAACATTATTCTCAGCTATTTCAAACTTCTTCCACATTTTACGATTCCACGAAGCTCCACCGGTAGTTACAGCATCAACGAAGAATCCAGAATTTTCGACATGTGCTACTGCGTCAATAACGAGCTTATGAAGTGTTTCCCCAGAAGCACGTCCATTTGTTAAAAAAAATCCCAGCGTTTGAACCTAGCTACTTTGGAATGGTTGAAACATAACAACCAACGCGTGATCACCGACTGATTTTGTCCTATTTTCTGGAGTATACGGACCGAGATCCGTGAAGCCCTTGAACGTCGTTGTTGTTAAGTCAAAAAAGAGATTTTCACTCAACTTCATTTCATCGATTAACAATGCACCTATAATGATTATTTCGATTATTATCACAAGGAAATGCAGAGGTGATGTGAGGAAACATACCTCTTCGACTCGCTAGTGACATTCCAGTTGACTTTAGTTTCAAATATTTGAATACTGATTTTTGGAACCCATAGCGGCATTGGAGATTCTTTAAATAATTGTTCAATGTATCAGGACATGGGAGGATGAAAATGTCCATCCGTCTCAAGGGGTGACATAAAGCTTTACTTTTAATCCGGACTAAAATGCTATTATAAATCCACTCTGAAGTATATCGTCTCTGTCGCGGATCTGTAAGTTTTGATGAAGCAAAACATGCCCGAATAGCCTCTTGCATACCGGGTGGTAACTGTTTTATTGCCTCCTCGATTGTCTCTTCACAAGAGGCGGCACAAGCCTGTCGTGCATTCGTCAACTCTTGTTTTAGTTCTTCAATCTAACAAGCGAATGAAAAGTTTTAGAAAAGACCTCTTCTTCAATAATGAATGTCATATATATTATCTTCAATTTCAGAGACTTTTAGCGCCTCTACGTGTTGTGATTTTTTTCCTGTTCTTATCTTTTCGTTCCTCTTCTCTCTTTCTTCTTTGATTTTCGGCGATTTTCACACGGCGCCGTTATGCTCGACAAGAAAGACGACGTTGATAAGGGCTGTAATTTCTCTTATGCGCATTCTCCGGTGAAACAATCACCAAACAGAAGGGGGAACGGTTAGAACAAAACAAGACAAGGCATGGAAAGTCCCAGCATAAATTAGATTTTTGTTACTCCGGTTCGGTCGAGGCCGCTGCACCCCTGCGTATTCATCGGACTTTTCCATTTCAACTCGCTTCAGTGCTTAGTTTTAAGCTCGGACTGTAGTCACCGTGCGAAGGAAATTGTCATTTTTTCAACTTCCCTATTCATCAATTAACCCTTTAACCTGATTATTATTCCTTTTTATTTCCTGGGCGCTGGAGTGGGTGAAATGGAATCTAAGGAAATGCTTAATCAGGTTAGAGGGTTAAAGTATCTGGAAAATTCTAGTATTTATTCCCAATATTACATCCGAAATGCTTGGAGACAAAAATTATTTCCAACAGAGGAATTATTTTTCCCATGTTCAATGAAATTTCTCATTGCGCGAGATTGCTGGAAACTCGCTAAACGTGCCCGGCCAGTTTAGAAGGAATTCGGCAGCGCTGGAGCGTAAATAACGCGGCGACAAATCCCCGCGGGGGTGACCGTATTCTTATCCGGTGTAAATTTTTCTTCATTAAATCCTAAATTTCACATATAGCATAATGCTCACCTCTGATTTTCATCATCTAGTGATGTTCCTACACAAATTTGCATCTTTGAAGCTTCTTCCAACGTAACTTCTAGATGAGCGTAATCTGTTATCACATCCTTGAAGAAATGAGCTATTTTACGATCAGCGCTTTGAACCTGCAGCAAATATGTTTACGAAAATCAGAATAAAGGTCGATATTTAATTTTCATTACATTCTACGCACCACAATCGTTACACGCATTCTTGCAAAATGCTGCAAATTTTGCCTTATTTCTAGAGAACAGGTGTATAAAAGCAATGATCGGAATAATTATGAACGGAAAGTGTCTCAAGGTTTGCATCTGCTTAGATTTTGGTAAGGTAGATATGACACAAAAAGTCCAAATATGCAATTTTGAATAGTATTTGTGTTTCGATTCGATTCGTCATTAAATTTCAAAATTGCAATATAAAGGAGGAGGCACTACTTTCAATTTCTGCGAAAAATTGGATTGAGGGGAAGAAGAGCGTTACGGTATAAACATGCTGAGATTCCTATCTGTGAATGACAGGTATTTTTTAGTCAATAGAAAGAATTAAGACATCTCCCATTCCTTATAAAGAATATACGATTTTATACGATGGATTTTGAGGAAGATCATATAAAATCCATGACAAAGTCCTCGTGGAAATTTTTTTATAATGGTAGCACTAGATGCGTTTAGATAAATCGGGAATAAAAATCAATTGTATGGAATTCGGGATTCCACAATTCCTTCTGTGATGTGATTTTTTTTCTTCTATTCATAAAAAAGGAATTTCATTGAAAAATGAGAATATCATGATGTTTCGCAGCCACACTTTTCTATTACTTATAAACGAAAATTAAAGAAAAAAATCATCGCAATTTTGCATAGAATGCTTTTTGTTATTTGAAAAAAATGACTGCCCCCCCCCATAAAAGAATCCATTTCTGAATGATCACTCGGAAAATCTAAATACAGATAATTTTTTTCCCCGGGCTTAAAAAACGGGTTTGAATAGTCTTTTGATTATGAAATCAGGGAAGAGTAGGAACAAATGAGAATTTCAGGAACAAAGAAACTTTTCGCGATTTCAGTCGGCGATTCAGAAGAAAATTATTAAAAACTCACCGCAGTACTGAGATCTGGATAAACCGTGCAAAAAATACGTGTTTTCAACGTATAAACGTCAAATAGCCGAAATTCCATTTTCCAAGGGTTACACAGGCAGGTCCAATTAGTCGGCACTCCATAATCCTGCACATCACACTGTAATTGCGATAAACTTCTATACGGCGTACTCGCTATTGGGAAAAGATTGAAGTGGAAGATTGAGAATGAAACAGAAAAAGACTAATAATGGTGCAGGAGAACAAACTTTGTCTCTCCATCGATTGTTCGCAACTGAACTAAAATATTTAATTACCAAGGGGTGGTCCTTTTTGCCGGAAAACCAGGTAAAACAACCCACCCCCTCCATTATTTTATTGCACTAGATCATCGGGTAAAGAGTGAACCCCCGAGACCAAGGGGGCCAACAGGTATAATGAATACAAGGCATTACCTGCATGAACGTCGGAAGTGTATCGAATAAAAAATCAAATTTTCCGTATTAATTATTGAATTGGAGATAGTTTAATTTTTTATTTCAATTGTTATAGGGGAGACCGGGGCATGGCGGGATACCTAAGACAACGGCCCCGGGTATACCGTCAAGCCCCGGTCTCCCCTGCGTAACGACGTTATATTTACCTCCTAATTCTTGAATAATGGAATTATCCAAGGAGATCACTTGAAACTCGGAAAAAAACTCATACGGAGAAAAAATTTTGAATATAATTTTATCTCAATTATTTTATTGCACTAGATCATCGCGTAACGAGTGGATCCCCGAGGCCAAGAGTCCCACCAGTTATAATGAATGAAAAGCATTACCTGCAACAACGTTGGAAGCGTTGCGAACATAAAATCAAATTTTTCACATTAATTATTTAATTGGAGATAGTTTCATATTTTATATTAACTGTTATACTTAACGAAGTTATATTTACCTTTTGATTCTTGAATAATGAAATTATCCAAGGAGATTAGTTAAAACTCGGAAAAAAACTCATGTGGAGAAAAATTTTTCAATAGATTTTTCTCTGTGCAGAGTTTTTGAGTTCTTCAAAATACTCACGTCTTTTTCCTTATTATGTGCAGAATGAATCCAAAATTGGCCATCTTCCGAGTTTTTTTGGGAAATTATGTAAACAAATTATGTTTTCTGCAAAAAGACGCAAGTTAGAAAAACAGTAAATAGACAAAAAATGTTGAGGGAACTATTATCTACAAAAACATGATAATAAATTGATAGAATTGATTGTTTCATTGATAATCGCAAGAAAATCAATGAAACGGTTTTTTTTTCAATTTTTTGAATAATTTTGCTACCCGAAGCGCAAAAAGTTATCTGGAGAAGGCGATCCATGCATAAAACCCTATCGATGAAGAAAGAAATTAGACACTAGGACTTCCATTGGTTAGTTGTTCTTTTTCCAGGCCACTTTTCGGAAGCTGTTTGCAGCTCCAAAAACTCAATACACGCGGCCGGGCAGTGTAGTGCGTATTTGGTATCGATCAGGCTCAACGAGGAAGTCGGCCAAATCCGCAACGCTGATCAATATAAAAAGGGATCAAAATATTCCAAAAAATCGAATCCCAATAATGCTGATTATTTTTTATTTACGACTCTTCACGTAATCTAATAATAATAATAATAGTGATAATTTTATCAATTCGATAGAATACAATTTCCTTCATAGGAGGAGCATTTGAGGAACAATTCGGCGTAAAAAATTATGAAATTTGGCTTGTTCTATAATAATGAAATGAAAATGCGGGGAAATCCCCAAAAAGAAGGGGAAGGGGGAAAAAACCTAATAGAATGGGGGTGATGATCTAAGAACCTTCCGACCTTCCATAAAATTCGGTAGGCCACTGCAGGTCATTATTGCACTCGAAAGCAACAATGACTATCCACTCCTAGCGTTCTTTTGCTCTCCTTTCAAAACGATTATACCTGCAGTGGGTGGTCCCCAAGGGTGGAGGAAAGGCTCATTATTAACTAAAAATCGTATTTTAAAAAACCCGTCAATTTCCCCAGTACCAATTTGATGCATTCATGAAGAATCCCCCATTTTTCTTCCGGTACATCTCTAATTGTCATTTATTAGTTGATCGTCTAAAAATGACAAAAAAAAATTTATGATTGTCAACTTAAAGTTCTGAATACTTAGAGTATTTCCTTCTATAACGAAATGTTGAAATTTCTCAAACAGGATAGAGTTTTGAATTGTAAACTATTTTTCTCTTTATTAATTGAGTTATTGATAATGAACAATATTTTGACGCCGAAACTTGATAAACACGCCTGGCCAGCGTGGAGCGAATCTAACAATGCTTCGAACGATTAATTCTCCGATTTATTTTAAACCTCAATAATCGGTCGAAAAATATGAATCATTA